GTGCCTCATTTTCCCTTCACTTCAGCGTTTGCTAGACACCCTGTATTGATTTGTATTTTTATTGGTTATTAGGGTATAGCTGATGCTGTAAGACAGTATTTGTGGCTGTTTGAGGAACACAATGTTCTAGAATTCTTGATTCTTGCTTGGGGATCAGAATTTTGGCTCTAGTATCCCCTGATTGGTTTGTATTACTTCATTTGTATTATGTTAATATGAAATCTGAATTTGATTACTTTTTAAATACACATAAGGGACTCTCTTTTTACTTGTCTTCTTCTTCCTTTTGACCAGCCTCACTGTCTCTGCATCTGCTTCCTCTTTCATTTGATGCATGCAAAACAGAATACTTATCTTTCTATATATGTATATCTATTGTAATAATAGTAATTTTTATATGTGGGTTTGTGCAATGTAGATGGTATGTTTGGGGGTTGATACTGCAAACAAGAACATCAATTTTTTCACTGAAATGTTCACTTCTGGGACTCTAAAACAGTAAGTACCATGAAACTTTTCATGATTTCTTGATCTTTTCCTTGCTTCCCCTTTTGATTATACCCAATTGGAGATTTCATAGTTTTTAAATTTGGGTTCTCTCCCTTTTTGTCTGCTTGGGTAGGTATAGGCAAAAGCACAAGAGAGTCAACATTATAGCAGTAAAGCATTGGTGCAGACAGATCTTGAAAGGTCTTCTCTATCTCCATAGCATCAACAATATTAGCCCGTTTTTTTCCTATGTTGATCTGATTTTTTGTTGCAATTCTGATGTATGCATATATTATACTCTAAAAAATTTATATTTTGCCTCTTTCCATTGATTGTTTATTATAATTTTTGTTGAACCACTCTTTATGTAAATTTTTATTTTGGTTTTAACTGTGTACTCCTTTTTTGCTTCTTCATTGAATTCTTTGGCATGCTTGACTAACAGCAATATGCTTCAAAGTGGATCTCAACCTTCTTTTGCCATGGATATTAATTATATTGAGGTAAATTTAATTTGTGTTCAATTTTTTAGGAAAATGAATTATCTCATTTGTTTTTATTTCATATTTTATTTTGTGTATATTAGTTGTATTTAGGGTTATGATGTCTATATTTCTCAACCTCAACCTCCTTTTGTCATGGGTGGTACAGGTGTTCTTATTTGATTTAATCCTTAATTTATTTATTCTTCTTTTTTCAAATGTCTGAAAAATTTTGTCAATACAGAACTATAAATTTTGCATTAATGAATGAGCATTCCTTGTTTGATCAAAATTCATTTTTTTCTGTTCTTTTATTGGCTTTGTTTTTATTATTATTATGTTTTATGATTGACAGAGACCGAGAGGAAGCATGGAGAGTGATTCAGAATGACAGTGAAGGTGGATGGGAGTTTTCCTTTGGATTCTTATTTCTTTCTTTTTTCTTTTTTTCATTTGACCTGACTGAAGGGTTGGGCGTTTTGGTTCACTTTCTTCTTATCTTTTGGCTTTGTGTACAAAGTAGTAATTTTTTTGGTTGAGAATTGTGAATTCAATTTTTGGATATGTTATTTTGTGGGTAATGGTGATTGGATATTAAATTGAATGAGAAAGTGAATTAATGTTGTATTTGCTATTTGAATGGAAGTTATTATTTCATATTAGTGCTATTTAGTTTTATTATAGCTATTTATTTAGTTTAATAACATAAAATTAGCAAAAATTTTAAAATAGAAGATATGACGGTGTTTCAAAAATGTCGCTAAATATTATAGTGACGTCATAATACCGTTAGGGTAGGACATTTGGCGGCGTTTAATATAACGACATTTTTCAAACGTCATAAACTTATAGCGACGGCTGCGCTGTCGGCGTTTGGTACTAAACGTCATAAAAAGAATTAGCGACGTTTTTAGTACCTATAGTGGTGTTTAAAAAAAAGCCGCTAAAAGTGGATTTTCCAACAGTGGAACGAGATTTCTTATTCAGTGCATGATATTGTGGAGAATCTTAGTCAAATTAGGCACAGCTAGCTGTGAAGTGATGAAGTTGCTTGCCCTGTGCTGCTGTGAAGTTGGTTGCTGCTGCTTGGGTGCATTACTTTTGTGCTATCCTTGGTTGGTCCCTCACCAACTGGGGTTGGATGCTATCATATGATTGGGCATGTTCATCAGTGCCGACTTAATTGGGATTGTTGAGCTATGCGATGATGATTTGTGCATTTTCCCCTCTTACACTTTATATGGTACTTTCATCAATAAAAGTTTTTTTGTCGATAAAAAGAGGAAAAAAAATTACATCTTGAATAGAGTATTACACATTTAATTTTCATTCTCATCAGTATGTTGGAGTGTATCGATATTAAAAGATAAAAAAACAAAAAATACAAATCAACCAATATTTGAAAGGGAAAAAAGATTGACACCCATAATCTAAAATAATGGTGGAAGCTTTGATCAAAAAGACTTTGTTCTATTAATATTATTTATTCATATTTAGACTGAAGGATGAAGACAAAAGCTGTAAATAAAACATCTTTCTTAATCAGAGTCAATCAAGCTGCTCTTATCTAGGCACCATCCTCTGTTGCAGTTGTAGTCATTGGAATTGGGTTTTGATGATCACTGTTGCTGCTGCTTAGCCATAAGTGACCTAGATAACAAAGGCAATTCCGTTGGCTACATTCATTGCATGTACGACCACATGGATTTGTTGCAGCCACCTCTGCTAAGCTCCTCCCATATGCTTCAGGCACTCCTAAAAACCACAACAACTTGCAAATTATTTTATAAAAACCACATTTTCCTTTTCTTAGTCACTTGTAAAATTGATAATGTACTTAGTTTTAAAAATTGAGAAAAACTGATAATATTCTCAGTTTTACTAAATAGGACATATTGATTTAAAAAATCTTAAATAGAACTTGAGTTATTATAATATTTGTGAATAAGACTTTTAGGTGATTAACTCAAAAAATAAAATAAAATAAAATTTTAGTTGGTTTTGCCAAGAGGAGCTTTGGAAAACGTTGACAAATCATAGTGGTCCAATCCGTTGAAGAAATTCTATTTGAGATTGGGTTGTGTAATTAAACAATTAACAATTGTTTGAAAGTGATTGGTTTGGTGAAATCAGAAGTTTTGTATGTAAGTCGGATTTTGTGAAAAATGATTGGGTACTTCTGAAGTGTTATGTGTTCACTCTCTTCATTAATTATTATATATTGTGTCTTTTTATATTTTTTAATTATTTAATACAAAATTATAAATTTTACATTTTTTACTTTTTAAATATCACGTCACTGTTTTTAGAAATACCTAATAATTACTCGATTTTGTGACTATTCATGGTTAAATAGTGCTTGGTTTGAATTTGACCTGAATTGATAACAGAAATCTACTTTATTTTCTTTTTTTTTCTCTGAGGAATAGGTCACATATAGGTATATAATTTAGAGAAAAACATAGTTCAAGAACAAGTCAAAACTAGCAGCTACATACCTATGGTTGCTTTCGCTGCTATACGTGCAGCGTGCACCTTCTGTCTAGACACTATGGCAATAAATACATGATCAAACAAATTACACATATCCTTGTTGTCCTCTAATACATTATAAATATCCCAATCAATCAAACGACCTGGATTGAGTTGCCGAATTAACTATTGACTATCAGTGAAAATCTTAATCGTTTTCACACCACTGATGGTGCACCATCGTAGGGCTTCCACAAAAATTGCCGGAGGCGCAAGAAAGGGCATGCCATTTGTTGTAATATGTTGGCCCAAGCGATCCACACCCACCCATGCCGCTCCTCCTCTAAAAGATTGCTTCTGCCAAGCACCATCTATGAGCAATATGACTGCTCGGCCCAGGCCATTTGCTGTAATATGAGAAATCTACTTTTGATATGTACAATTCATGCTCATTCTCATCCATTTGCACATTAATTAGTTAGTTTAAATAATTATTCAATCATCACCACACACCCACCAACCTTATTTATTTATTTATTTTTTTATCAGGAAAAAAAACTTTATTGATAACATCAAACATATATACATATAGATAACATCAATAAAGCGGAGGCAATGAGTAGAAAGCATCACAGAGCTTCCCTTCATCTCAACTAGGTTGGCACAAAGAAAAATACCAAATCATATGCTAGCTCAAGCACAACCAAGCCCAAAACACACAAAAAACACCAAAACAAGCAAACAAGCAGCAACAGCAGCAGCATCAGCCCAATAAACAAGACACCAGCAGCAGTAAAAACCAGTAACAACCAACAAGCAAACACCAGCAGCAACAAAACAGAACACCGGCAGCAAAACAGAACACCAGCTGAAGCCCAATACTCCAACAGCCCTGAAGCAGCCAAGTATAAGTCGCCATTGCATAGCAGGAATCACACTTGCACATTGCCACCAATGCAAACTCTGATTTGCTTCATGTTAAACATGAAGCCATTAACTGAAAACTAAGCTAGTTTAGGTGATGTCTTCACCCATAAAGCAACTCTAGTCTTGACCAACTCAATGACTTCAAGGCAAGGATTTGAGTTATTGAATTTACACTCATTTCTGAGCTTCCAAATAGACCACAACACTGCTAGAGGTATACTTAGCCATGTCACTTTCTCTGATTTCCTGACTTTGGCTCCATCCCACCAGAGAAGCAACCTTTCCATTGAATCCGGCAAAGCCCCAAAAAAACCCCACCACTTTAACATAGGGGCCCAGATATGCTAAGAAAAAGGACACAGAAAAAGGACATAGTGAGCAGACTCAGGCTCAGCTTTGCAAAGAATGCATTTAATATTAGAATTGCTACTCAAAATCCCAATTTCCGGCGGAAACTTAGCAAATTTGATTCTATTCACTACTAGAAAATTGACCTTTTGCGTCTAATTTTTTGCGACTGACTATTTAACCGTCGCAAAAAAAGAAAATATTTGCAACCGTAAAAAAGATGGATGCAAAAAAATAAATGAATGAAAATAGGCCAAAACTACATGATTTTACTTTGGTCAATTTATTATTCCTATTTCTTTTATTTATTTTATATACCAATGCCCTAGCCCCTTTCACTCTCACGACATTCACAAACTGTCTCTCTCGCTCTCTTGCTTGCCATAGTCGTAGCTCCAGTGGTATGAATCTCTGTCTCTCGGTCTCTCACTTTCTTTATCATGCTCTGTTTCTTTGATCTTCAATTTCATTTTCCGACTCAAAATTTGATTTTCTAAGTTGAATTTTCTCGAGAAAGATGCAGCCTCTATGAGATTTGATCGACGATGAAACAGAAATTGTTGAGTGAAATTAGGTTAATTGTTTGATCGAGCAAAGAGAAAAAAACAGAGAGATGAGAAGCACGAACAACATCGCTCTAGATACGATAAGTGCTGCTGTGACTGCGATTGCGTCAGCTGGGACTCAAGCTTCAGTTCAGGTAAACAATTTGATTCGAATGTTAACTATAATTTACGTTGCTTGTTGTGGTTGATGATTTGATTATCTCAATTAGATACATGAATCTCTCGAGTTTCGATTTCTAATTCAAAGCTCTGTATAATCTGAACATTTAGGTTCAAGGTCTGCTGATTATATATAGGTTACGTTGATCATTTCACTTTGTTTGATGTAGTTTTTGGAAATTATATTTGTTTAATGCTTTTTAATTTTTTTTATTTATTTGTTGTTGTTGTTGTTGCTGCTGCAAGTCATCCTCATCATCTTGAAATCGAGAAGGCAAAGAAGTTGCTGAATGTAAGAACTGAGATGTATCCTACAATATATATATATATATATATATCACTTTGTTAACGTTATTGTTTGGCACTAAGTGCTTGAATGAACAAGTACTAATTAGCAATACAAATGGTAAATTATTATTTATGATAGCCTTTGAAGGATTTGGTTATGATAAATTTTATTTTTTTCTGTTTTGGAGGAAATAGCCATTGACATTGACAACCTGAAGCTCATCTTGTCATAATAGCTTGTGGCGTTGCTTTGGAGCTAATTTATATTGTTGTTATCTCTTTTGATAACGTTAATGTTGGCCTAAATTAAAAGTTAATGTATTCTCTGAAGCTCCATCATCGTTACTCCCAAAAAGAAGCACTCCTCGATTGCCAGACTTTCAAGTGCGTGCTCAAACTCGTGTACTGCTTGTGCATCTATGCATGTACAAATATCATTTTTTTGAGTCTAAGTTTGGGCCATATCTTGTGCAAATAAAATCTCTTGCCTCTTTGTGTGGCTAAAATATTCTTTCATCATGTTCCTTCTCAGGAATTGCACCTGAAGATGGTGGAGAGGGCTATGCAACATACATCTGCAATTTCATCATCTTCGGTTTCTTGCAGTGATACTGATAAGGTTTGTGATTGAATTTACCTACCAAAAAAAAATTGTTATTGAATTTAATGGATACTTAAGTATACTCTGACACAATTAATATATTGTGTCCTTGATTGCGACTCTTGTGCCTAAGAATGACACAACCCAGTTCCAGTTAACATATGTATGTTTATGTTTATTTTAAAATGTTGTTAAATAAAAAATTGAGTTAAAAATTGAAAACTAGATTAAAGTAGTTTGATGATTAATTTTTATAATAATAAATTAAGGTAGTTAAATTAATTTTATATATATATATATATATAATATGTATATTTAATTTAAAGTGTTATTAAATAAGAAATTTAGATTAAAAGATAAAACAAGGTTCGTTTCGTTTTCTTACATTGAAATTTAACTTTGACTAATTTTTTTTTTCCCTTCTCCACTCTCAAAATATGCATGTGAAACAAACTCTATTAGTTTTGATGGAAATATAACTGCAGCATTTTAGTTCGAAACCATATGGGAGGTATGTGGCTATTTTTAAAAGATATGGAGGTAAAGTGCTATTTGGTCAGTAAAATGAATTTTGCCCAAATATATATATACGCTCAATGAAATTTTTTTAAAATCAATTTAAATAGAATACATAACTGTTAACATTTAATTAATTTGATATGGCAACCACCAAAGCATGATTATGTCATATCAATGTCCATGAATGTTGAATAATCTGTTACTAATAACAATGCTAAATATGTATTATGGATTTTTTAAATGGTTGAGCTTCTGTGCCTAGAAATTCTTTGCAGGAAGTTGCTGAACCAATGCACATGTATAACATCTTCACATAACTTTAAAATATATACAGGACTTTTAAATTATTCTACATGCTTGGTTGTGGTCCCTTCACCTAAGAATGCTTGCTGACATGATCTTCTCCTTTATTGCAATTATTATATACTCGAAAATTAACAAATGTGGAGCTATGCTATGAAATGATGCGTTGAGGATTTATTCATTTTAACAGGGACGAAATTTGGTGGTTATGGTTCATTTCTACCCACCTATCAACGCTCTCCTGTTTGGTCTCGTCCAATATCTCCACCAAAAAATCATAACTACAGCACGCCCAAATCCTCAAACATTTTGCACCTGGAGGTAGAAAATTAATGAATTTGGGCCTTCTTTTGTTTTTGTGAACTATTCTTTGTTGTTAAGGAGGAAGTAGAATTGTCTTAGTTAAAATGGGAATTCTAGTTTACCTGAACACTTTGAGTTGTCTAATTATATAGGGTAGCTGTCATAACTCTGTAGTTCCATCTAGTGCATCTCTGTCAGCGAGACATGGGCTGTCTTCTACAAATGCCGCATTGCTCCATTCGCTGAGGTCTTCCAATAATGATTTATCAAAAAGAGACATAGGCATGTCATCAGCACATTGTGCTGAGGAATCCAGTTCAAGATGTGAACTTGCGAAAAACTGTGCTCAACCTTCTGACCAAAAAACACTGAAGGTTCAAATCAAAGTGGGTTCTGATAATTTGTCGATGCAAAAAATGCTGAAATCTACACTGGTCTTGGCCTTGATATCTCGCCCTCTTCCTCGTTGAATGAAAGCCCCACCGGCAGTGAAGGGTTTTCACATGAACCTTTGGATGCCCCAGAAGAATCCCCAACTAGTATTCTTCAGGTAAGTCATGTCCTTGTATCAGTTTAGTATAGTATTCCAGTTTCTTTTTGCCTGAATTGACATGAAAATTATCAGATTATCTTACTTGTTTTGGCTTATATGTTGGAGCAGATTATGAAATCATTTCCAGTGCATGGCAATCTATTGTTATACCCTCGTCCGGATGATCTGATTTACATGATTGAAAAGGAAAAGCTTAAAGGAGACATTAAACCTAGACGTGTGATCAAGAGTAGCCAAGAAAGTTCAAATGGATCTGATTTTGCTAGGGGCAATGACAAAGTTTTAGGAGGAAAGAAACTTAAGTCATTTGAGAGAAATGCCTTTTCAGTGGAATTGAAGAATCACATTGATAAGGGCACTCAAAACGGCATTGGTGTTCCGTTGAAGAAAGAAACAGACATTGACAAATACTCTGAAGCTTCCACTTCTATCTAATTCATATTCTGATGTTGCCAACCGTGACAAGGGTACTGCAAGAGCGGCTAATAACTCTATGGTAGCTAATAAGGTGAAAGAATAATCTTTCTTTGATCTAGCTAAAGTGGAAACCTTGGAGAGATTACTAAACCAAGAGATTGGCTTGGCTGAGAAGCCTAATGGAAAGGCGGTGTTCAATGTTAAGGTTTGGGAAGAGAAGAGCACATATGCCAATAATTATCTGTCTAAAGGTGAAGTGGAGGATTCCAAATTGCAGAAGTATCTATTCATCTTTCTGGACAAAATCTGTGTGAAATCTTATCCCACAACATTGTTGGTTATACCATATATCAGCAAAAATAAAGGATATTCTGATATTATTTTTTACATCTTATGTGAACTGTATATTTTCTCTCTTGCTGTATAGAAATAGGAAATAAATAATGTATATAAAGCCTTATTGTGTATATATGTTCCTAAGCATACATATGCATGTATGAGATTGTTACTGTTGGATACTTCTGTTCTTTTAATTGCATCAATTGGAATTATGAGCAGATTAATTCTTGAAGACAAGAAAAATCCGAGTAGCTGAAGAGGCTACCTGCAAATCAAGGATGACAAAGGTTTTTGTTAGATCATTTGTGATATATATCTAATTAAAACTAGTTTAGACTTCCTCTTTTTTCTTTGTTTTTTGCGACGGCAACATAGCGGTCGCCATAAATAGTTTAGGCGGTCGCGAATAATTTGCGACCGTTGATTTGCCGTCGCAAAAAGTATTTGCCACCCCCATATTCGCCACCCCCATTTGCCGTCGCATGGGCTGTCGCAAAAGGTTTTTTGAGACTGTATTTTTATTATTTGCGACGGCTTGTAGCGGTCGCAAAAAGTGTTTTTTTTAATAGTGATTCTTCCAAGCCAACCATCTAAAGAATTGGACTTTGGGTGGAATAGGCTTGAACCACACCAACTTGCAACCCCAAACTACAGAACCAAATTTATTAGAACAGAACTTATACACAAAAGAAGTGGAAAACACTCTTAAGGATTCTGCAGCCCAACAAGGTATATCAACAAGATCAGGTATGAGGAAAGAGCTGATGCTAGTAGGTTAACCGATCTTAATGCTTCCAACTCCTCCCACTCATACAAAAAGGTTGCACCTGGTCAACTGAACTTCCTTTCAATTCAGAATAATGCTTAACAGAACCTTCCTTATATTGAGCAAGGCTGAACAGGCCTGAAAATTCTCTCTTGAGACATACATTCCCACACCACTTATCATACCAAAACCTGGTTCTAGATCCATCCCCAACTTAAATCTGAAAATTCTGCTCAGAGAACTCAACCAAGTCCCATCTCTGATCAGCAATGGCAATGATGTCATTCCAAATTCTAGAATATCTACTACTAAGATTGCAGTTAGGGCTCCACTTGTCAACCCCAATTCTATATTTTCTACAAATCACTCTCCTCCAAAGAGCACCTGCTTCAAAACCAAATCTCCACCACCATTTGATTAGTAAACAAATGTTCACCTTCCCATTCTCCTAATCCCCAACCCACCTTGATCAACCCTTTTTGTGATCTCCTCCCATTTCACCATATGAATTTTTCTTTTCAGATCAGAGCCACCCCATAAGAATGATGCTTGAAGCCTTTCAATCTCCTTAGCCACTCCCTCTGGCATTCTAAACAGTGACAAATAATACACAGGTAAACTAGACACAACTGCTTTGATCAATGTGAGCCTACTTGCAAATGATAGAAGCTTCATTTTCCACCCAGCAAGTTTGGATCTAACATTCAACCTTATTTGGCAAGTTAAATAAAAGAAAATACTATATGATATGTGGAAAAAAAAAGTCATAAAATTAATTTTGAAACTTTTGGAACTATTGTCCCAAGTTCTAATTTTTGGAACTATAAAGCTAGTTACAATTAAAAAATTATATTGTCCATATTTAACTGTCTATTTGTTCACAATTTCACCTTTATGTCCATGTCACCTAATCAACCTATTTTTTTTAATCGACGAAAGTCAGCTTCATGTCACCTAATCAACCTATTTTTTTTTTAATTTGTAAAAGTCAATTGTTAGTTATTAGATTAGCACCTGTAGGAGTTAACTTCCCCACTCTTGCAAAATACCAAGTGTTTGCCTCCTAATTCAATTTTTCCTAAGGGATAGTTGAACTCATGACATCCCATTGGGACTAAGCCCTTAGAAGAGTCATGATGGTTAACTAAGTTAAGCCTAGTTGGTTACCCAATTGACCTATTTGTCCATATCATAGCCACCTCTAGCCTCCGGCCACTTCCACAAACTTTTTTGACAATTATTCACTAATTGGCGACCGATGATGGTCCAATGGCGTAAAAAAAAAAAATTATATTTCAAACAATAATTTGCCTTTCACACTAAATAATTTCATTAATCATGTCTTTACAACTAAAATAAAGCAATCCTTAGATCTAATACTCTACAGTCCTTAAAATGAATTTCCCAACAGTTTTTTCAAAAAATAAAAATACACATTTTATTTTGAAATGATAATTTACAATGCATTTTAACTCCATAAACAGTGATTGAGCCACATAGAGTCCATGAAGGCACTACAGGAAATTACACTTTCGACGACCAAATTTGACGACCAAAAAAAATTTAGTCGCCAAAAGTTGTGGAATTAGCGACCAAAAATTATATTAGTATGGAACAAAATTTTTGAGGTTAGATTATACTTGGTTTGTATGAAATTTGTATTACATTTACAATTTGACGTTAAATATAATTTTTTTGGATGGTTGGAAGTGAAATGTGTGCACGTTGTCGAATAGTTGATAATATAATCAATATTGATGGATTATATTATTTATACAAAGTACATGTTACACTAATAATGGATACAGGTGGTTGAGAAATAACAATAAAAATTATATAGTATTTGGCGACTAAATATGTTGGTAGCCAAAAAGAAACAAATAGCTTTTGGCGACCAAACAGTTAGTAGCCAAAACAAATTAGAATGAGGGAAGAAACTATTGCCGACTAAACATTTTAGTCACGAAAAACACGACATCCTTTGGCGATTGAAATGTTTGGCCGAAAAAAATAATGGAATGAAAATTAAGAGGCTTTTGGCAACTAACATGTGTAGTCGGTAAAAGTAACAATGACTAAACTATTTGGTCGCTAAATGTATGTATTATATTACCGACTAAAATGTGTTGTCGCAAAATGTATTATTATCTGCGACAAAAATTCTATTGGCGACTAAAACTTTAGTATCTAATAGTTAATTTAGTTTTATGTGAGAACTTTTGGTGACTAATATTTTAGTTACCAAAAGATAACCTTTGTCGACTAACCAAAGTTTAGTAACCAAACATTCATTTTCAGCAATTAATATTTTCATCGCCAAAAGATTACCTTTCCCGACTACCCAAAGTTTAGTAGCCAAATGTTCACTTTCGGCGACCAAAAATAGTTTAGTCTTCAATACTATCGCCGACAGGGTATAGGCAACGACCTTGGTGACAAAAAAAATTAATCGCGGCAACCAAACATGGGACTTTTGGCGACCAATATTTTAATTGTTAAAAGTGTCATCTCTTGTAGTGAGGGCAGTTGTTCCTCCTCAAGATTATACAAAATAAAAATTTTATCTATAATTTTAACCAAGTTTTACATTTTGCACCCTCTAAAAATTATTATATCCTCATATTTTTGTAGTCCATCCTTTAATTTTTTTTCTCAATATAATATCTACAATTTGATCCTTTAAAGTTGACTTTGTTCAAAAAAAATTCTCATCATATATTCTCTTTCTATTATGATTTTCTTTTAACAGCAAATTTTTTTTATTAAAGAAATCAAACGATACTTATAAAAGAGTCCATTCAATAAAATAAAACTCACACCAAATCCTAAACAAACAAGACAAACAGTAGATGCTAATCAAGACGTAAAGCTTATACTGCAAAGTAGATGCTAATCATATGAGTTTGACACTAAAATAAGCCTAAGATGAAAACATAGATACAACCACGAGGAGAATAAGGTCAAGTTTGACATATTATAAAAAAATTAAAAAGTTAAAAATTTATTCAAAAAATTAAAAAATTATCACTATTCATCAAAAGTTAAAAATTACGGCTACACATTTCTTAATTCTAATTTTTCACTACACACTAATTTATATAATTTTTTAATACACATTTTTTTATAAAAAGTCAAAAAAATAACTCAAACATTCATATTTTTTTCTTCAATTTTTTAGTTCAAAAAGATAAAAAATACACTTATTTAAAACACCCCAAACAACTCCTAAATTACAATCACAACGCCTTAAATTACAATCACGGCGCCGATAGACTCTAGTTACACAACCATATCCTAAACAAACAAGACAAACAGTTTAACAAAAAAAAACAAAATCAAATCTCAATGTGCTCACCAAAGCAACACAGACCAAATCAATCTATTAGGGAGGAGGATTCCAGTCACCACCAAGAAGCCAAAGGCAGCAGAAAACAAACCAGTGTGCTCACCAATGCTTATCTTATCTTACTAATATATGAGGGAGCTGGGAGAGCTACAGTAACCATGGCTCTCTTTTCACTTTCCATTTATGTCCCTCACCTTTATTCAACTCAACTTTTGTTTGTTTGTTTGAGACTTTTGGATTATTTGGTAAATTAACAGCCTTCCGTTACAAGCCAAGTTTGTTTCAGTCTCCGTTTCGCTCTTCCTAACGATGCCGAGATGATGAAGATGGGCACAATGAAGATCTGCAAATCTGGACCACAATAGGTTGACCATCTTGACACCGACAGGTTCACGATCTGGACAACGATCTCTAAATCTGATGGGTTGAATCAGATTGATCGATCGATTCGACTGCGGCTTCAAGTAGGTTCTCTTTTCTTCTTCTTCTTCTTCTTTTTCGGCAATTTTCTTTTACTTTTTTTTCTTCTTTTTCTTCTTACTTTGGTTTGTCCATCTTCTTTGTGATTTGTTGTTCTAAAAGTAAGCGTTTTTTTGTTTTTCTTGTTATATTCAAGTAAAGCTTTTTTCTTTCTTGTTCTGAAAGTAAGAATTTTGTGTTTGTACAGGGAAATTTTCAATCTTTGCATAGTCAATGTATCTTCTATTTGTTTTTTTTTTCTTTGGAGAAATTACACCAATTCCTAATACACTGACCTTGTGTCTCGATTTTGACCCTACATTTCTTACCTTTGCCCAATCGGTTACAACTATTAATATTATGAGCTCTGATTTGTAGCTCAAATTCGGAGGCTCGAATTTGGCCCGAATTCGGAGAAGAGGAAGAAGAGAAGAAGAAGAAGGAAGAAGAAGAAGAAGAGAAGGAGGAGAAGAAGAAATGGACTGGAGGGGGCCATCAAAATCGGAGGTGGAGGCAGAGGTGGCGGCGGGCGGAGGCAGAGGCAAAGGCGGAGGCGGAGGCGGAGGCGAAGGCGGGGCAGAGCGACGAGCTGTGTTCACGACGCCGACGAGCTGTGTCCGACGAGCTCTGTTTCTCTCTCGCCTCTGCTCTGCTCTCTCTCGCCTGTGTTCAACGAAGAAGAAGAAGAAAAGAAATAAAGAAAAGGAAGAGAAAGAAAAAGAAGAAAAAAAAAATGGCAAAATGACGTCGTTTTGCCATTCGAGCCAAAATCAAGCCACGAATTTCGAGCTACCAGTCATTTTTATAAAAAAATGTGTATATGAGAGTGGATGTCATATTTTTAGGAATAAAATTATAAACTGATTAATTTAGGATTATGTTAGATGATTAAAAGTCATCTTTCAGCTTTTAATCTATTTTAGGTTTCATCATCTCTTATATTTTTTTACACATTTAAAAAAAAAATTCAAAAAAGGCAAAAAAAAAAATCAACTTTTAATCATCTCTCCAAAACACCCTTAGTGAACTCAATGATATTTTTTGTGAAAAAAAAAATCCTAATGGCATTGTCTTGGACCAATTTCACACAAAATTTAATGTAGAGACCACAATAACACGAGATATAGGGAATAGCAGTGTAATTTGCCCTTTTGTTTTAGTTTTCCTCGTTTATCCCTTTTGTTCTTTTTTTTTTCTTTCCTTTCATTGTTAAATTTTCTTTCTTTTTCTTTTTTAGGTTTGGCAATGTATATATATTTACATTTTTAGAGTTATAAAAATAAACATCTTCAGATTGCAAAATGGTTGTTTTTTCCTTCATTTATTTGGATTTTCTTTTTTTCTTTTTTTCCTTCTTTATTTCTTTATTTGTTAAGGTTCACAGAAGACACTTGGGCTGATGTTTCTTTTTCTTTTTTTTTGTTCTTTTTTTTTTTTGTGTGTGTTAATTTTCACTCTTTTTACTACTCTAAAAATATCTGCAAATGCATCTGAGTTTCATGAGTGGATCTGGTAGTGAAAACTTTCTGTTAATGGTTGTGAAAATTTTCATTAACGATTTCTATTTCTGGTGTATCAAATTTAACGTTTTGCTTACATGCCTTTAGGTTCGAAAATACATCAAAGGTCTTTTGAAGCCTGAAGTATTAATGTTTGATTTATATGGCAACCCTGGAGAATATTTAGAATAGTCTGCAAGCGGGCATTGCATTCCCCACAGGATGCTCTTTGAATTGGTAAAATTCTCCTTCAGAGTTCTTTTTTCGCTTTTTGTTTCCTTTTTGTTAATTTAAAGTTCAATTTTTCTAGGGTTACATAACTGACTCCAAATTCTGGAGATAAAAGTGTGTTTCAGTATGACAATGTGATAACATTGGATTTGGAAACTCATGTTGATGCTTTAATCCCTATATTATTGGCAGATTTTAAAATTATAATGGAATGTGCAACTTTTTTTTTCCTTGGTTACTTGCAGGACGAATAGTTGACTATGCTTTTACAGTGGCATTCAATCCTATGTTTGATCATTTGCTTGAAGCGTCACAAGAAGCCATGAACGTGGGAATTCTGGTGATTGAGCTTATCTATAACGATACTAATTTATCTAAATATGCCAACTTGGATGGATGATAAGTGACATTTTTTTTTCCTCCTTGAGTTGTTTATATTAGGTGTATGGATCGGTCTTCATACTTGAATTATTGCTTGATAGAACACAAGTACGGATAAAATTAGGTTGGCTGAAGCAGTATAATATATATATTTTTTGATCGGCAAAAAATACTTTATTGATGAATAACGAAGTACATCATACATCAATAAAGAAGATGAATGCAAAAGCATCATAACAAAGCAAAATGATCCCAAGTAGGTTGGCATCATAAAGCAAGCCCAATCATCTGTAAGCATCACATAAAGTTGGTGAGGAACCAACTTAGAACAAAACAAAACCCATAAAAATAAAGAAACAAAAATAGAACCAGCACGGCTCCTCTAATTCCACTCAAGCAGCTAACCCATGTTCCATGGCCATTCCAGCCATCCCTTGCTTGGCATAACCACTGAAGAACATATCATCACCAATAAGAAATAGCTATACTTGCCAAGGTCCCAACGTAGAAACAACCACGGTAAATCATATGAACACCATAGCACCACCATAAGACAATGCTAACAAATGAGTCATTACCTTCCCCTGCTACAAAACCAAATCTGTTGTAAGTTCGAGATAAAATCATTGACCAAATAGAAAAGCCCATGTGAATGAGCCTTCACCCAAATCGCCACTCAAACTTTCACTATCTCACATATATCCTCAAAGATTGGTTGTTTTCCATTAAAAACACAATCATTTCTGGTTTTCCACACAGACCATAACAGAGCACTAGGAATGGAGCTCCAAATCTGCCATTCCAATTTCCGAAACTTAAAGCTCGTCCACCATTCCAGTAGTGAATGCACCGAGTGTGGAGATACCCAGCCAAAGCAGTATAATAATGATATAGTTCTGCAATAGCATTAATTGAACACAATTTGATCTTGTGGATTTGTTGTTTGATTCTAGAGTTATCTTTGTCTTGCATAAATATAGCTTCCAAAAGATTATGCATTCTACACTATAAAACTCTCTTTAATTGGAGTGAACTCGATCCTAAATTTTCTTGGATCTAAAGTTTCATGTGATATTAACATTGGTGGAACCAAGTGAGAAAAGATTTATGAAGTAATATTTAACAAGAAACGAAAAATATATCCAAAAGTAAAGGTAAACTACACCGTATTTGGATAAAGTTTGGGATGATGATCTATTTGTGAGTAAACTACCTCATATCACATCTAAGTGAACTATTGATATGATTGGGTTTGGGTGAATTTTGATTTGCATTTGATTGTTGAAAAGGTAAATAGGTTTCATGGCTTTAGCTTGAAGTGTAATCTCTACTGACTACTGTTACTCTTTAGATGTCAAACTATTTGGTTAGATTTTACAATGGTTTCCTCTTTTTACCGTTTTGATTTCTTAGAGCCTTCATGTTAATAGATGTTAAGGACTGACCATTTATATCCTTTTGGTGACGAACCTCATTATGTTTCTTTGATTTTTTGTTGCCCTTGATATTATACAGTTGCTATGGGGACTGCACAAAAAGTTCTCTTCCTTTCGTTTTGACTACCCAAAAAACACATAATCTCATAAGAGAAGCAACACACAATAAAGAGAAAAGAAGCATTAGACCAATGCACAAATTGCATACTATACTATTTGTGAACCTGATTCTACATTTGTGTGCCTAATGTAGGTTTTTTTTATTGGCTTTTTATCATTTAGAGCATGATTTGTAGCTTGTTTGAAAACCTAACGATGGATGATGTGATTTGAACAATGGAAGTACCAAGGGGAAAAATTAATTTAATAGACAGATCAATAATAACAAGGCAATATATTTTCACTTTGTGTTAGAGAGGTTTTTGTACTATCATGGAGACTCTAGAGAGGGTTTTTTTATTTTTATTTTTTGTAGCATTTGTTTATGATTATAAAGGCATTGCTATTAGTGCCTTGTGTCTTGATTATTTAAAGTTGCTATCAGTATTATTGATTGGTTGACTTGCTTGAAGGTTTTGCTAAAACTACTGAAGGCAGGAATGATTTTGTTCTGGCGCATTATACATTCAAGCAGTACACACATCAATTACTGTTATTTTCTTCAATGTAATCTATGGCTCAATTATAAATGATATATAGGACTTTTTAATGTTGGATATATTAATGCATGGAGCTAAAATTCTTTTCAATTGAGACAATATTTCTACTTGCTCATTTTCCCCTGTTGTTTCTTAGTTTGGTTTTATACCTCAAAAGACTGCAAGTGTTGAGAAGTAATATAATTATGCTCCATATTTTGTTGTTGGTTTTCTTCTTTGAATCTTCGAATGCATGCATTTAATTATACAAATACATGCAGGCCCACCATTGGACTTGGTTATTCGTTTCCATATTCATTTCATTTCATAGGTTAGCCATTTTATTTTAATAGATGCATACAAGATTAACAAATAGTTGTGTTAGCCTTTTTATTTTCACTATTGAGACATACAAACGTCCCCGAACGCCCCGGGAGGGTGAGTCCCCGTTCCGTTCATTTGGGGTCACTACAGCTCAGGACTCTTAAATTGTCACGATTCTAAATCTGAACCAAAGAGTCCAAATCCGGCAAATCGTTTTGAGAAAAACAGATTTTTAGAAAAGAAGTGCCAAACATGGACTGCTTTGCCAGATACAGAGTCGCCACCTAAATGTTTTATTTTGAGGAAATTTAGGAAACCCTGACTCGTTTGCCTAAGGCCACGTGTCCGTCATCACCAAAGTTGCCTCGGCTCGGGAACTTGGGTACGATTGGGGAAGGTCACTTCGTGAGCACCCCCGCTCCCCCGATCAAAGATCGACCTCTACTAACCATGATATCTAGTTTTGAAAACATTTTATTTTCTTATCCTTAATAGATATTTAAGATAATTACCCTTTGACCTAATATTTTAATATAATTATATAAATAAATTAATTCTTAATTAAATTACACTTTATCGTATACCAACAGAAAATAAATTATTTATTTTACTACCACACTCCAGTCCTGGCAGCTGCACGTTCACGATCTGGACAACGATCTCTTAAATCTGATGGGTTGAATCAAGATTGATCGATCGATTCGACTGCGGCTTCAAGTAGTTTCTCTTTTCTTCTTCTTCTTCTTCTTTTTCGGCAATTTTTTTACTTTTTTTTCTCTTTTTCTTCTTACTTTGGTTTGTCCATCTTCTTTGTGATTTGTTGTTCTAAAAGTAAGCGTTTTTTTGTTTTTCTTGTTATATTCAAGTAAAGCTTTTTTCTTTCTTGTTCTGAAAGTAAGAATTTTGTGTTTTGTACAGGGAAATTTTCAATCTTTGCATAGTCAATGTATCTTCTATTTTGTTTTTTTTTTTTCTTTGGAGAAATTACACCAATTCCTAATACACTGACCTTGTGTCTCGATTTTGACCCTACATTTCTTACCTTTGCCCAATCGGTTACAACTATTAATATTATGAGCTCTGATTTGTAGCTCAAATTCGGAGGCTCGGAATTTGGCCCGAATTCGGAGAAGAGGAAGAGAGAGAAGAAGAAGAAGGAAGAAGAAGAAGAAGAGAAGGAGGAGAAGAAGAAATGGACTGGAGGGGGCCATCAAATCGGAGGTGGAGGCAGAGGTGGCGGCGGGCGGAGGCAGTGGCAAAGGCGGAGGCGGAGGCGGAGGCGAAGGCGGGCAGAGCGACGAGCTGTGTTCACACGACGCCGACGAGCTGTGTCGACGAGCTCTGTTTCTCTCTCGCCTCTGCTCTGGCTCTCTCTCCGCCTGTGTTCAACGAAGAAGAAGAAGAAAGAAATAAAGAAAAGGAAGAAAAGAAAAAGAAGAAAAAAAAAATGGCAAAATGACGTCGTTTTGCCATTCGAGCCAAAATCAAGCCACGAATTTCGAGCTACCAGTCATTTTTTATAAAAAATGTGTATATGAGAGTGGATGTCATATTTTTAGGAATAAAATTATATAACTGATTTAATTTAGGATTATGTTAGATGATTAAAAGTCATCTTTCAGCTTTTTAATCTATTTTAGGTTTCATCATCTCTATACTTTTTTACACATTTAAAAAAAAAATTCAAAAAGGCAAAAAAAAAATCAACTTTTAATCATCTCTCCAAAACACCCTTAGTGAACTCAATGATATTTTTTTTGTGAAAAAAAAAATCCTAATGGCATTGTCTTGGACCAATTTCACACAAAATTTAATGTAGAGACCACAATAAACACGAGATATAGGGAATAGCAGTGTAATTTGCCCTTTTGTTTTAGTTTTCCTCGTTTATCCCTTTTGTTCTTTTTTTTTCTTTCCTTTCATTGTTTAAAATTTTCTTTCTTTTTCTTTTTTAGGTTTGGCAATGTTATATTATTTACATTTTTAGAGTTATAAAAATAACATTTCAGATTGCAAAATGGTTGTTTTTTCCTTCATTTATTTGGATTTTCTTTTTTTCTTTTTTTCCTTCTTTATTTCTTTATTTGTTAAGGTTCACAGAAGACACTTGGGCTGATGTTTTTTCTTTTTTTTTTTTTGTTCTTTTTTTTGGTGTGTTAATTTTCACTCTTTTTTACTTACTCTAAAAATATCTGCAAATGCATCTGAGTTTTCATGAGTGGATCTCGGTAGTGAAAACTTTCTGTTAATGGTTGTGAAAATTTTCATTAACGATTTCTATTTCTGGTGTATCAAATTTAACGTTTTGCTTACATGCCTTTAGGTTCGAAAATACATCAAAGGTCTTTTGAAGCCTGAAGTATTAATGTTTGAATTTATATGGCAACCCTGGAGAATATTTAGAATAGTCTGCAAGCGGCCATTGCATTCCCACCAGGATGCTCTTTGAATTGGTAAAATTCTCCTTCAGAGTTCTTTTTTCGCTTTTTGTCCTTTTTGTTAATTTAAAGTTTCAATTTCTAGGGTTTACATAAACTGACTCCAAATTCTGGAGATAAAAGTGTGTTTCAGTATGACAATGTGATAACATTGGATTTGGAAACTCATGTTGATGCTTTAATCCCTATATTAATTGGCAGATTTTTAAAATTATAATGGAATGTGCAACTTTTTTTTTTCCTTGGTTACTTGCAGGACGAATAGTTGACTATGCTTTTACAGTGGCAGTTCAATCCTATGTTTGATCATTTGCTTGAAGCGTCACAAAGAAGCCATGAACGTGGGAATTCTGGTGATTGAGCTTATCTATAACGATACTAATTTATCTAAATATGCCAACTTGGATGGATGATAAGTGACATTTTTTTTTCCTCCTTGATTGTTTATATTAGGTGTTATGGATCGTCTTCATACTTGAATTATTGCTTGATAGAACACAAGTACGGATAAAATTAGGTTGGCTGAAGCAGTATAATATATATATTTTTTGATCGGCAAAAAATACTTTATTGATGAATAACGAAGTACATCATACATCAATAAAGAAGATGAATGCAAAAGCATCATAACAAAGCAAAATGATCCCAAGTAGGTTGGCATCATAAAGCAAGCCCAATCATCTGTAAGCCATCACATAAAGTTGGTGAGGAACCAACTTAGAACAAAACCAAACCATAAAAATAAAAGAAACAAAAATAGAACCAGCACGGCTCCTCTAATTCCACTCAAGCAGCTAACCCATGTTCCATGGCCATTCCAGCCATCCCTTGCTTGGCATAACCACTGAAGAACATATCATCACCAATAAGAAATAGCTATACTTGCCAAGGTCCCAACGTAGAAACAACCACGGTAAATCATATGAACACCATAGCACCACCATAAGACAATGCTAACAAATGAGTCATTACCTTCCCCTGCTACAAAACCAAATCTGTTGTAAGTTCGAGATAAAATCATTGACCAAATAGAAAAGCCCATGTGAATGAGCCTTCACCCAAATCGCCACTCAAACTTTCACTATCTCACATATATCCTCAAAGATTGGCTTGTTTTCCATTAAAAACACAATCATTTCTGGTTTCCACACAGACCATAACAGAGCACTAGGAATGGAGCTCCAATCTGCCATTTCCAATTTCCGAAACTTAAAGCTCGTCCACCATTCCAGTAGTGAATGCACCGAGTGTGGAGATACCCAGCCAAAGCAGTATAATAATGATATAGATTCTGCAATAGCATTAATTGAACACAATTTGATCTTGTGGATTTGTTGTTTGATTCTAGAGTTATCTTTGTCTTGCATAAATATAGCTTCCAAAAGATTATGCATTCTACACTATAAAACTCTCTTTAATTGGAGTGAACTCGATCCTAAATTTCTTTTGGATCTAAAGTTTCATGTGATATTAACATTGGTGGAACCAAGTGAGAAAAGATTTATGAAGTATATTTAACAAGAAACGAAAAAATATATCCAAAAGTAAAGGTAAACTACACCGTATTTGGATAAAGTTTGGGATGATGATCTATTTGTGAGTAAACTACCTCATATCACATCTAAGTGAACTATTGATATGATTGGGTTTGGGTGAATTTTGATTTGCATTTGATTGTTGAAAAGGTAAATAGGTTTCATGGCTTTAGCTTGAAGTGTAATCTCTACTGACTACTGTTACTCTTTAGATGTCAAACTATTTGGTTAGATTTTACAATGGTTTCCTCTTTTTACCGTTTTGATTTCTTAGAGCCTTCATGTTAATAGATGTTAAGGACTGACCATTTATTCCTTTTGGTGACGAACCTCATTATGTTTCTTTGATTTTTTGTTGCCCTTGATATTATACAGTTGCTATGGGGACTGCACAAAAAGTTCTCTTCCTTTCGTTTTGACTACCCAAAAACAACATAATTCAATAAGAGAAGCAACACACAATAAAGAGAAAAGAAGCATTAGACCAATGCACAAATTGCATACTATACTATTTGTGAACCTGATTCTACATTGTGTGCCTAATGTAGGTTTTTTTTTATTGGCTTTTTATCATTTAGAGCATGATTTGTAGCTTGTTTGAAACCTAACGATGGATGATGTGATTTGAACAATGGAAGTACCAAGGGGAAAAATTAATTTAATAGACAGATCAAATAATAACAAGGCAATATATTTTCACTTTGTGTTAGAGAGGTTTTTTTACTATCATGGAGACTCTAGAGAGGGTTTTTTTTATTTTTATTTTTTGTAGCATTTGTTTATGATTATAAAGGCATTGCTATTAGTGCCTTGTGTCTTGATTATTTAAAGTTGCTATC